ATATAGTAAATAAAAATTTTAAAAAAATTACATATTTTATAATAAAATGTGCTTCAAATGTACTATTATTTATATTACTTATACGTACTTTACCTTTTTTGAAATATGTCTATTTCTTAAAATAATGTAATATAATAGAAGCTTTTATTTTGAAGAAATTTTGCTAATAATCTTTCCTTTATACTCATAAAGATACTTACATGTCAAATGTCTATATAAAATATTTGAAAAAAATATGTATTTTGAAAAAATGTTTCAAAAATTGTTTAGTTTTAAAGGAGTAATAAAAAATAGTAATAAAGCAATATCTTGATAGTGATGTCATTAAAGCGAGATTGTCGTAATTTTTTAAAATATAAATAATAATTAATATAAAACTTTTCGAGAGAGAAAGAGAGAAACGTTACTTATTAAGATTACTGTTTTATTGCTTCCTTAACTTAAAACTAAACAATTTCTGTTTAAATCTTTTAAAAAAATATATTTTTTAAAGACATTTTAAATAAATATTTAAAATAGATATTTTTCTGGGTGGTATTTATAGTCCGATTTTATATTTAGAATCGTCTTATGATTTCATTCAACAATGAAATAATGTTGCGCAACCATTTTGTTGATTGAATGAGGTTTTAAAATGATTTCGAATATAAGATCGGATTATTTACACTATCCTATATTCAATAATTTTATTTGGACTTTATCTGAATAAAAAAAGATATCCAGGGGACATTGTTGGGATCTAATTTAATCATATGTAGGATATCCCAGGGATATCCCAGGGATTTATTTTTTGATGTCCTACGGATATCTGAAAAGCGGACATTTGGATATCCCACGGATGCCCTACGGATATCCTACGGCTTTGTACAGACATCCCAGGGATATCTGAAAATTTTTTACATTACATCCCACGGACATCCGTAGGATGAAATTTTGCTATGTGGGTACTGTAATGATATGATTTTAAGTATTATTAGTTAATTTTTCTTTATTTTTCAATTAAAAATTTCTAGAAAAAAATAATATTAATTTGAAAGAAGCCTTACGAAAATCTTTCGATCATCGACTTCTTAGTAATATTAATTTCGACTCGACTCTTTTATTTCAAAGTTTAACGTATTCGACATTCGAGTACGACACGACCTTGTCCAATTAATACTGATAAATAAAGTAACTGTTTTTGAGGATGGTTATAAAATGAATTAAATAAGATCGACACTGATTTTATGTGATATTTAACAAATAGTCTTTATGTAGAAAATACAACTGTGCGAAAACGACTGAGTTTCGATTTAATAAATTCGGCCCGACTGTCTCTCTATATTTTTTCGATTAGTACGACTGTTCTGGCTGGTTCGGCGATAGAGAGTGAGATTCGATCTCCGGCTCTCTCGCAGGTCGACTTCCTCGAATATTCTCGATCCTTAGATCAGTTACAATTTAATATGAACAAATTATGAGGAGCGGGAATGCGTGCGCGCAGGATCTATTTTATCGAGGCGCTGCTCTCGATCAACCGGCTGCCGTCCGCTGGCGCCGTCTATCGGATGCTATTGCTTGCATCTTACAAATTGTTATTAATTTTCTTGTTCTATTTCTTTTCAAATTATTATACTTTCTATAAGAATTCCTATTGGTTCCGCCATGTTTTTCCAAACTTTGTTTCGACCAATAAAAATAAACACAAGCCAGACTCTATATATAGGGACTCTAGTGCAATATAGCTCTCTCTCTCTCTCTCTCTCTTTCTCTCTCTTCCACGCTGGATTACCCCCACTTTTTCAAGGCTCACTCTAGTGTGTTATATAGCTGGCGTTGGGCGCACGTGTTTGGTAAGATGTAGTTAAATGTAACCTAATCTATGTTTAAGATAAAGTATGAAATGAATGTAATATAAGACACATATCCACTCATAACCGGTTCATGCAACACCGTTAATTATTAGTTAAGTGAGAAGGAAGTAAAGAAGGACAGGCAAACGCAGCACTGAGAGTAGACGTTACATTCAAACTGCATACTTCGATAGTCAGGTTAGTACTCCTTTTTCATAACATATTTTATTTACTTATTGGCGGTTTGCTCTAATATTTATCCATTGATATTTGTTTACAGTTGAATTTTGGCATTGTAAATATGTATAATCATTATTTTGTTTAATTTCTACTTAGTGTTAAGTGATTTTCCAAGAGAAAGAAGTTATTAATAATTACAAAAAATTATGAAATAGAAAATTAATAGTTACAATATTTATTATAATAAATTACATATATATTTTTATTTTTTAAATTAACTAATTTTAGTGTATATTGAGACATAGGATTACATCATACTCTAAAATTTTACATAAGGATTTCTATTAGAATTTCAGATAATGCTGCTATTATACATAAATAAAGGATACTGTACATATCAAGTTTTCATAAATCTTCTATGACAATTTTTGTTGGTGGATACATTTAATGAAATTAATTAAAAAATTTTAAATTAATTTATTATTGATCCTGATCGAAAAAATTTAGATACCTTCTGTGAAGGCATTGCTTAAAAATGGTGACTCAAGTATTTGATGAATCTCTCAGAGAGATGCATTTGATAAGCTCAGAAGAATCCAAATTGCAATCTGATAAACAACAGGAGAAAGTACAGATGAAAAAGCAATTAGGTCTTTTGGAAGGAGTAGCTATTATACTGGGAATTATATTTGGCTCAGGTATGTTCAAGCTATAAATATATAGAATATTTATTTAGAATATTTATATTTGGCTCTGGTATGTTCAAGTTATAAATATGTAGAATATTTACTTTCTCACTAATTTTGGAGAACAGATTACACATACATATATCTTATAAAAATTAATTTCTGGTAAATTTTACTGGTTTATTTTTTTTTTTTATAACAGAAGTTCAATTGTGTCTAAGTCAATTTTTTTAAAAGTTTTATTATGTATAAAGGAAGAGTGGACGCTAGTGTTAATTAAGATCAATAACGTGGATGTTGCGAAATTTGATCCCATATGTGTGCTCAAATGATAACGTTGTTTATATACGTTTATGCAATCAAAAAGAAACATCTGTTGGTGTCATTTTCACTCTTCATTTTCTTCAAGTTTAATCTTTTACAATAATTCTCTCAGATAGAAAATAATGTATTGAATTATTTAAAAACTTTTTTAGTTTTTTTTTAAATAGAATTGAAAAAGAAACTAAAAAATTTTTCAAATAACTCAGTATATGTTTAATACATAACTTACTTCACGATGTAATATTAATTTTATAATTCTTACAAGATTAAATATTTGTTATTTGCAGGCATCTTTATCTCACCAATAGGAGTAATAAAAGAAGTGGGCAGCGTAGGATTGTCTTTGATCATATGGGTACTGTGCGGTCTGCTTTCTATGATAGGTGCCTTATGCTATGCAGAATTGGGTACCAGCATACCTCGCAGCGGAGGAGATTATGCTTACATTCACGAAGCTTTCGGCCCGCTACCATCATTTCTGTACTTATGGGCTGCTAATTTAATTTTTGTGTGAGTAAATTCTTAGCTAAGCTTAAATTTTCTCAGTTGAAAAAGAACGTTGCTTAACTAATTGTTTACAGACCTACAACAAATGCTATTATGGGATTGACCTTTGCTCAGTACGTTATGCAACCGTTTTTCCCAAATTGTACCACTCCGGATGATGGTGTGCGACTAATCGCTGCACTTAGTATATGTAAGATTTTTGCATTGTTAAAAATATAATTAGTTTTCTAAATATAAATACAATTGCAAAATCATCTTACGCAAAATATGATATATTTATACATAAAATGCTTATGGTACGTCATATCTAGACAAAAATACATAGAAAAGAAAATATATGTGGATATCTAAACATACATATAGCTTGTACAAAATTTTAATAGTTTAAATATATTACTAAAAAAAATTATGTTCACACAGGTTTCCTCACGTTCATCAATTGTTACGATGTAAATCAGACATCTAAGATGCAGAATATATTTATGTTCGCCAAAGTCGGTGCACTGATGATTATTATTATAGCTGGATTAGCTTGGCTCTGCATGGGTATGTTTTTCTTATGAATTAGTAGTGCATTTCGGAGTAACGTTCATTAATCAAAATTTATTGTATTAATTAGGACACGTGGAAAACTTTTCGAATACTTTTGAAAACACAAATACTAATCCTGGTAAAATTGCTGTGGCTTTTTACTCCGGTATATTCTCTTACTCAGGATGGAATTATCTGAATTTTATGACAGAAGAATTAAAAAATCCTTATGTGTAAGTTACATCTTTCAACAAAGTCAGCTTTTAATAATGTGAAAAAGAAGAAATTGTTATAAAATATTTCACTGCTTGATTGTCGAATTAACAATTGAATAAATTTTGGTTATTAGAAATTTACCACGCGCGATTTACATATCACTGCCAATGGTAACTATAATATATGTGATGGCAAACATTGCTTATCTGTCGGTTTTGACGCCGACCGCTATGATCGCTTCCAATGCTATCGCTGTGGTAAGTGCTTCCATAATTTTTCATGATCTATTAATTGAATCTACATTATAGGCATGTAGAATTCAGTATTTTTGTTAGACTTTCGGTAATGAACTCCTTGGATTTATGGCTTGGACAATACCTGTGATGGTAGCGATATCTGCTTTCGGAGGATTAAGCGTTCACATTATGACGTCGTCCAGGATGTGTTTTGTTGGCGCTAGGAACGGTCATTTTCCTTCGATGTTAAGTCATATCAATATGACCAAATTTACGCCTACGCCTGCCTTGGTGTTTTTGGTATGTACAGTGCTTATTATATATTTGACAATTTTGAATAAATTTTTATTATAATGTTAAAAGCCAAAAATAATGAATTTTTGAAATATATTGAAGTAAGCCTGTTTCTTGTCGCATTTCATAATCTTCTTGGTGTTTCAGTGTATTCTATCTCTGGTGATGTTATGCACAAGTGATATATTTGTGCTGATCACATACTGCAGCATAGTAGAGTCTTTCTTCATTATGATTTCCGTGGCGGGAATTTTATGGCTGCGCTATAAAAGACCTAATATGGAACGACCAATCAAGGTAACGCACTGCTTTAGGAGCTCATGAAAGGAATTACCGTTATCTAGAGATAGCGCTATTTATATGTCAAGAGTGTGATTTAATCATCAAGTGCTTATCTAGATATCAAGATTAATGCAAATTCCTTCTTTTTTAGATACCATTATGGATACCTATAGTGTTTGTAGCGTTGTGCATTTTTTTGGTCGTTGTACCGTGTTATGAAAGACCATTTGAAGTCGGCATGGGTTTAGTAATCACCATATCTGGCATACCCGCATACTTTCTCGGTGTCGCTTGGAAAAACAAACCGATATGGTTTCAAAAAATGAACAGTTCGTAATTGGCACAAATATTGTTGATTATATTTATTCAATATTTATATATTACATTTAACTTTTATATTTTCAGTTAAAGCTACTCACACTGTGCAGAAATTATTCCTGTCTGCAAGAGAGGAACGCGAGATTGATTAAATAAATATCACAAGGCTCTGGGATTGATCTTGAGTAAAAAAAAAAGCTAAAGAAATTCGTTACGAATTTTTAAATTAGAAAAAGATGAAAAATAAAAAAAAATTTTAAAAAAAGAATAAAACCAAAAAAGATTGCATAATTAGAGACTGATAAAGTACTTTTATTTTTAGATGTGAAACGTTTTACATCTAAAAGTTACGAGAGTGAAAAAGATATTGCAAATAAGATAGATCTGAGAATTGCATTTGATTTTGCGATTGTTTTTAGCGTTACCAAAGAAATGTTTTGTGTGCTTATTGATGATATTATTTTTTGCGATAATTTGTATATATTTATCAATTACTTAAGTTATAAAACATTTGTAAAATGATGTATGAAAAGTATTTATATGCTAGTAGCTATGCACTTAAAAAAATTGTATTTTGATAAAATTGTGTATTGTTATATAAAGAAAATATATTATCTTAGAAAATTGTAAATTAGTATGTGCAAAAAAATAATCCTATTTTTTTACGCTGATAGTTTTACCATTTAAATTAAAAGTATTTTTCCGTTTCTTTGCGGTTATGTATTTATATATCTAAATTTAACAAAAGTATTAGAAAGTTTTTAAATTTTTTTGGGAATGAGTTTATGCTGTGTTCTCAAAAAACATAAAAGTATATTTATACACACTTGCATAATCGCATAAAACATGTGTACACGCCATGTAGTTATGTTTACTGAATACACCTTAATTTCTATCAGTTTCGTTATCTGAGTCTTGTGTATTGTGTCGATTTGTTATGGTTATGTCGTTTACTATATATTAATTACGTGTTATATAGGATATTTAGCATTAGTGAGTAAATTATGGAGACTCAACCATTAAAAACCCCTGAAAAGCATACTGAAAAGCCACCGCCATATTCCGTCGCAACAGCACCGACAGGTGTGTTATTCTTTTTTAGATTAGATTAAGTCAGGTTACATTTTATGAGAATCTTTTTTCACAATGATATTTAGAAGATGTAGTCTTTTGTAGTGACGCACAAATAACTATCGATTTTGCTTTATAGATGTTAATCTCCTTTCGATGTAAATCATAATAAAATGCTATTGTTACTTAAAATATAAATGAACAAACTGTCAAGAGTTTGCTTGCAGTTTTGGATATTCTGTAGACTTTTTGAACTTGATAGAAGCAATTTATTTGAAGAGGAAGAGATAAAGTTATTGTTCACTTGCCAATTGTTTTACTTATTGTTGCAAATTTTTATCATTAGTCAATACGGCATGGCAACCACCTCCAGGCTATTATCCCAGCAACACCAACGCTGGACCTTATGTTCACTCTTATGCTGGCTCTAACGTTGGCCCTAACGTTAACTCTAACGTTGGCAATCAAGGAAACTATGTTCCGTCATATGGCTCTACACATTCAACAGCAATAATTGTTCCAGAGATTATTTTAGTTGGTGGCTGTCCTGCGTGCAGAGTATGCAACTATTTTCATTTTATTCTTTGAATATTATATCTGTCAAATTAAAAGATTTTTATAATTTTAATTTATATATAAAATAGGTTGGTGTCATGGAAGATGATTACACATGCCTTGGTCTGCTCTGCGCAATTCTTTTCTTTCCCTTTGGTATTCTTTGCTGTATGCTTTTGAAGACAAGGCGCTGTTCAAATTGTGGAGCCTATTTCGGTTAACTATGATAAAAGCGTAAGCTGTTTACATTTGTCTACAAAGAACAGTTTTATCTCTAATAAGTACGAAAGTGAAAGAGAGATGTTAAATATGTAATGTAGTGAAGATAAGGATCATATTTGATCAAAATAAAAAATATATTTTAATAATAAAATAAAATAATATCTAGATGCAAAAGAAACTTGAAATGAACAAGATGAAAAGTAATCAATTAATTAGGAAATTAAATTGGGACATGGAATTTCTAATTTTTTTGTTACAGTATATTATTTTATGCAAACAAAATTTTATGGGAGGATATTTTTGTAAATTTTGTGTAATTATTAATTTAATAATTATATATAATTCCATTATATGTGAATTAATAATTAGTAATTTTGTTATAATTAAAAATTTTGTTGTAATTATTCTTTGTTATTAATTTTACTTGGCTTATTATTTTTGCGTCTTTATAACAATAATACATTTTTTTTATAGGTTTAAGAAATGCTTAATTAGAATAATATAATCATATTTAATTTTATAGATATTTTCGTATATATAAGTAGACTAAAATATAAATCGTATATTTCGATGAATAAGTAATCGTCAAATTGTTATTTAATTACAATTTGTTAAATTATCATTCTATTAAAATTTTATAAACGTTACAATCTGGATTTTTTTATTAATTATACCTTTTGCTACAAATTTTCAGATAAGTTCTACCATATTAATAAATATATTTTACTAATTATGTACATAGAATATAGCGTGTTTATTTTTAAAATTACTATTTATAGTTTCTTTCTAAAAGAGCTATTATCAACGTTGATTATTACCGATTGTAATAGTTAATTGTAACACTATGTTAATTTCGTAATTTATTGTAATTCAAATATGTCAAAAGTTTATATACACATGGCAATTTATAATTAATAAATATTTTTTTAATCATATCATACGCTATGATGCGTCAAACTATGAAAACTGAACTTCGTTTTTCAACCTTCCAGGGATCTGTATTTTATACGGCCGTTAAGGCAGGACTCTATATTTAGAATTTGCTATACTCCGCCGCTTTGAGAATAGATGTAAGTGGCGCTGGAAGCCGCTTTTTCATTTGTCGAGAAGTGGGTTTGTACCACTGAGTAACACGTGATGCTTATAGCGTAACTTGTCAGCTGATGTTCGATAAAACAATTTTATAATTTGTTCGACGATTTGTGACATAGTTTACTTCGCTTGAAAATTTTATTCGCAGCACTTGATTTGCTTCTAAGAAATTACACGTACAATGGCACTTCACTCCGCAGGAAAAGGTAAACTTCTAGCAGTGATTGGTGATGAGGTGAGTACAGGTTTCTCATGTGACTTAATTGATTCGCAGTAAATTAATTAGAACACAATCTTTTCTTTGAAACATAGTTTAACGAAAGATGTTTTGTCTTCCGTTTCGTTTCATGATCTTGCAATATTTTATCTCAAAGAAGTGTTTATATTTCTGAATCGAATTGAAGTCTCTATATATATATGTGTGTGTGTGTGTGCGTTTATGTCTTAATATCCATTCTTGCATAAAATGATGTAGGTTGTTTTCCAGCTAATGACACAAGAGTACACAAAATATTCTGTTTGTTGCTTATTGGATATCGAACAAAGACAGAATGATACTTGTTACTCGATTGATACTCGATTTATGTCATTAGCTGGAAAAGAACCATAGATCTATATCTATTTGTTAAAATTTAATTGTTATTATTTTAGGATACTTGTGTAGGCTTTTTGCTTGGTGGAGTCGGAGAGATCAATAAGCATCGCCAACCTAATTTTATGGTTGTTGATAAAAGTATGTATAATAATTATAATGTAAGCTAATTGAGTATATTTAATTAGCATATAGTGCATACCTTTAAATTAAAATAATTTTGTTTAAATTTTATTTGGAAGCTATTTATATACACATTTCTGTAATTTTTTGATTAATTGTTTAAGGCAAATAATTTTGCAAAAGTATAACTTTAATTAATTATAGAATAAGATTTTTGTTATTTGTTTATGTCTTAAAGAATTGATAATTTAAAAATTATTATATCTTAATAATTTTATTAAAAAATAATTACAAGTTTTCAGTATTTAATAATTGTTAATTATTTTGTTTAAGCAAATGACATAGCAAAATTAATGTTAAATAATAATTCTTATAGATACACCAGTAAGCGAGATTGAGGATACATTCAAACGATTTATCAAACGTGATGACATCGACATCATTCTTATTAATCAGAATGTAAGTAGCCAAATAATGAGAGGTATTGATAATTACATCTTATTTTCATATTCTATTTTATCAATTTTTATTTTACTGTCAACTATTGCTTAGAATATTTTGCACACATAGAGATAATGCTTAAATGTATATGAAGAATATATAAAAAATATAAATATAGAGTCAAATACAACAAAAATTATATGAGTATAGATTATCTATACTTTGTCTTTATAATGAAAGTGCTTGAATGCAAATTTTACACTTCCTGGAAAGTATTATCTCAAATGATTTCAAATTCATTATTGCAACATGAAACTTCTAAACGTTACTAGGTAGTATTGTGTTGGCAATTGTCAGTAGATGGCGCTTACATAAAAAAATTCAAAGAAATTAATCCCGCCATTTTTCAGTCAAATCGTTGTATGTACATTTACATGACCAAAAAATTTAATCAAATAACTTTTCATTGCACCCTTTAAATTTATCTCGGTGATCATAGGTAGCCGAGATGATTCGTCACGTCATCGACAGCCACACTCAACCAATACCTGCCGTATTGGAAATTCCGAGCAAGGATCATCCTTATGATGCCAGCAAAGATTCCATTTTAAGACGTGCTAAGGTATGCCCGCACTTTTGTTTCCAAATGTTTATCAGTTGTGAGAAACTGTTCAACTTAATTTACGATTAGACATTCGTTCTTTAGATCTTACTCACAATTTTTCTTTACAGGGAATGTTCAATCCGGAAGATATTCATTCATAATGTATAAATATAATAACATTATATGTTAACTGAATTATGCCAAATGTGTATAGCAAATTAGTATTATCGCGCATTCCATATTTCTATTTCTCTTATGTCGTTCGATTGATGTAATATAAAGTTGTTGATCTAATATTTTCATAAATTCGTGAAGAGTAATAATGAAAAAAATTAAATGTATGCATATTGGTGACAAAAAATATTTAAGTATTACTATTACTAACATGTAGAATGCTTAACAATTTTAATGTTAATCTTGCACAACAAATGGCATAAAATAGATTAATGTGGTATAATTGTGCAATTATTTTAGAGAATAAAAATATAAACTTGTTTGTTTTTAAATCAAAACTCTTTTGTCTTTGTAAATTTTTTATTAATTTGTTTCAAGTCTTTGATTTTTTTATTTAACAAAACTAGTTTATGAGTTTAACAATATATCGTTTTCTTAATTTAATAGAATTGTTTTAAATAAAAATATTGTAAATATGCCCATTAAATGTTGTCATGATGTAAGCTTTAAATAGTTGTGTTAAACTCTCGATTGCATATGAATATTCGTGGTCGTTTTTACGAACCTCAGATTTGTATACCTACGCGGTCGGGTTTGCGTTCCGCGATTTCTTGATTAGTATTAAACTATTAATATTTTGGAGAGTATTTAAAAAAGAATCAACAGTTACAGTATGTTTTTAAAATAATTGAACTTTGGTATTTATAAAAAACGCAATTTCTTTTACAAGGCCATTAATATTTGCGGTAATTTAATATTTATAAAATTAATTCAAACATTGTTTTGAATATTACAATGAAGAGTCATGACGTTTTGTCTGACGTAATGTATCTGAATATTTATATATCATTGAAATACATAATTAAAAACTGATTAGTGACGCTAAATTAAACAAATATAAAGGTAAATATGATGCCTGCTGTACATCGGATATCAAACGAAGTGTAAGTTTTATGTAATTTACGTTATCTTATCGAAAACCATCTGACGATATGTATGTAATTACTTTATGTTTTGACATCTGTTTTTTTTTGCATGGATGCACCATACATCGATGTCAATATACAAAGTCATGATCCTTAATGTTGATTTTACATTACTTTCTTTTCTCATCGAAGCGTAAAAATGCATTCAATTTATACATTCAATGGTAAAAGACTGTCCAAGTGTTGATTATGTATCTACTTTTTTTCCCAAAAGGAATTATTTTGTCTTAATATTTTAATAACTTCTTTAATTACTTTTATATTCCAGCTATTGGATCTTATTTAATTCAATTGTTAATATGATTTTGCTAACAATTTTTTATATTAACATTTTTTTATTTAACTGTCTAACAATTTTTTTATATTAACTTGAAACATGAATGCGCAATTATAGGGTTTGCTTTATTTCATTAATGATGATTCAATAATAAAGTTTCATAAATTTGTGAAAATAATTTTATAATAAAATGACAAAAAGTAAAGTGATTTACAATTGAAAATTGATATAAATAGCTTAATAAATCCACATAGCAAAAAATATTCTATGTGAATATTTTGTGTAACGTCAAATATACTTTGTGAGAACATTTTTGTGAAGTTATCACAACAGAAGTTGGAAAATATTGACAATATTATTTATAATTGCATCTATTTGTCATCGAAATATAAAAATTACATGATAATATAATCCTTACACTGAGGAAGACAAAACTAGGAAGCAATCTAATCTTAATCTATATGTTATCTATATATAATCTAATATAATCCTATTTCTACGATTAATTTCAGAAAAAGTGACAAAAACAAATGTGAATTAAATGTTGCAATGCAATAATAATCTAAATGAAGTATAGATGCACCGGAATGTTGAGCTTAGCAGAGAAATGATATTCTTGAGATCGTAAATTAGATCAAAAATGTTCAATCTATGAATTTATTCGATTACCTATCGTTAAAACCTGTCGCTTAAATATTGAAACACAGTTCTCTCTGCCTTTAAATATTTTGATACTGTTTCGGCCGTTTTCTCCTTCGATTATCAAAGATAAGAAGTCGCATGAAGTCGAAACCGATGCGGAAAAATTGCGTCTCCGCACTCGGTAAGGCCAACCCTGCTATAACGATAATGCAATGAATAAAGTATAAAATCTTTCATTTGTTCGTTTCATGTGTGATCCGTTGCACCTGATAAGATAATTTTATAAGCAATCGTTAACTTCTTATATGAGAAAGATAGAGGGAGAGGCGCGGGTGGCTTATCGTAATCCGTATAACTATATAAAGATGAGGGCGAATGTCTTTTGTGTCTTAATTCGCGTTCAAGCGTTGCCTTCGTCTTCGTCATTGAAAATTTAAAAAGAATTGACATGGCGTTTGTAAAATTGTTCACGTGGATCCTGGTCGTCGCTGTTAATCTGCAGGAAATTTACGGGCATGGCTATATGCTGGAACCTATAAACAGAAGCAGCGCCTGGAGAAAAGGCTTCCCTGTGAAGCCCAACTATTCAGACAATGAACACTTCTGTGGAGGACGCACTGTATGTATGCTAAAACTTATCACAAGATAGATGTATTTTTGGATATTCCCTTAATTAAACTATGAAGATATTAATGATTATAGGTGGCTGAAAGTAAAAGATTTAACATTCATTGAATTTTGAAAAAATACTTTAATCTTTTTCCTAATTTTACGCTGATTTTTGCTTAAAAAGATTAATGATTTTAATTGAAAATTTAAATAGAAAACTGTAAAAAATGTAGAAAATATAAAATTGATGAAGAGAGTAGTTCATCAAATTTTTGAAAAATATTTTTTTTCCTAAAATAATTAACGTTGAAATTTTGGGAAATCATAAAAAAATAATATCTAATTAATTGTTACTGCAGATAAAATGTTTCAATGTTCAACGACGATATTGTTTTTAACAAATATTAGCAAATATCCTTCAAGAAAGGAAAGTTATGTGTATCGAGTGTTGGTTAAAATATAAATAGAAAACAATTTTCGATCGCATTGAAGAAAAAGAATATAGTATACTTGAATAAGAAAATTTTTATTAGGTTCAACATATGCAAAACGGAGGCAAATGTGGAGAATGCGGTGACAATTACGCCTTCCCCCGACCACGGCCGAATGAAAATGGTGGCATCTATGGAACTGGCGTCATCGTTCAAAAGTAAAATTACACAAGACAATATGATAAAAAAATCGTAAAACATGACATTTTTATTATTTCAATTATAATTCGGTGAATATATACAAAAGAAGTATCCAAAGTTATAAATAGAAGCATTTAAATTTGATTAAATTCTTTCATCAAATACAACAAGAGATTTATTATCTCTATAATGCGAGCAATGTAATAACATTTGTAACTATAATATTTGACAACTTTACATAAAAAGACCATTTTTTTACAGCTTTAATGAATTTTATATATTGATATATTTAAAAAAATGTATTTAATTCATAAAAGTAGTAATTAATTACTATATCAAGAATATCGTACGAAAATGTCACTTCACACAGGTATAAGTCTGGTTCTAACATCGATGTGACCGTTCGCCTCACAGCCGGTCATCTGGGTCATTTCGAATTCCATCTCTGTCCATTGAAGACGACGACAGAATTAGAAACTGATGAATGTTTCGACCGGTATCCTTTATCATTGGCCGACGGTAGCGGCTACAAGTTCCCCATTACGAAATATGGAAATGGTGACTTCAAGATTGGCCTGGTTTTACCAAGCGGTGTTACATGTCAACAATGCGTGATCAGGTCAGGAATGAAAAGATTATATAAGAATGTTGAAGGATAGAAGAAAGGAGAAAAATCAATTGACAACAAACTTTAGGATTTTGTTTTAAAAATGAGAAAAGATGTCTTTTTCACAAAAGTCTTTCTTTTCGCGCTTTGTAAATAATACAAATTATATTAAATATTATATATTTTATTGATTTTAAAGCTTTGAACAACATTTTAATATTTAATTATCAAATTATTTAATGTCGATGATTAAAAATGCGTAAGAAGATCTAAGTTTTTGCTCGATTTTATCATTAAAGTTAAAGTATTTGTATAAGTTGAATTAAAGAATTCGCGTGTAGAGACGACGATTTAATATATAATTATATTCATTCATTGATTCAGATGGCATTATCGTACCGGAAACACTTGGGGTACTTGCGACGACGGAAGGCAAGGCGTTGGTTGCGGCCCTCAAGAGACTTTCAGGAGCTGCGCGGACGTTTCCATCACGAATTAACCACTCGGTGACTTCAATGCATTATTGTGAGAGATATTGTTTATTTTCCAAATTTTTGTATCCTATATTTTAGCAATTAAGTCTGAAACACTATTAAAATCTATCTGATATTAGCTGAAGAATATACAAGTTTTGTCACTCGGCTTCCCGCGGAGCGAAAATTCTTGATATCGTAATCTTGTAACTTAAAAAGCATTGACGCTTTTCGTTCAGAAAAAAACCGAATTGACCGAAGAATACGACGAAAAAGACCGCCGATAACTTGGCGCACTTTCGGATGTAAGAAAAGTGTCTCGCCGACACCACCTCTGCCGACAGCGGACGCGAAGCCCGCTCACCTCTGGTAACGCACCTCATCTTAGATCCCGGCACTGATTGTAAGCCGTGCGGTGAGAAAGGGAGAAAGAGAGAGAGGCGACCAGTCAATTGATTGCCGTGTACATGCGCGTTCTCAACCTGTCCTCGAGACTGTGGTTTCGAGAACTGCGAGCCTGTAGATCCCTTCGAGAGACCTGTACCCCTTCCCGTCTCTCACACACATACGCATACACGTAGTGAACCATTCTCTTTCTCTTCTTGCCATCCAAGACTTTGAAACTCGTTCCAGTCGGCCACGAGCTACCCGTTGTTCCCGCGCTGTTGGTCTCCTGCGAACGCCAATTCGTCAAAGAGAAGAGCACAGATTTGGCTTTCCCTTGTTTGATTTATCTTTGACTTTTTTTTCATCGGCGAAGCGAGTGAGTGCATGTGAACGCGTGTATTGGTGCGTATGTCTATACAGAAGAATGCGGTAGGATGTACACCCGGGAAAGATGTTTCCTGCTAGGACTCTGCCTTCTAGGCGGGGTCACCTTTTGCCTGACGGCCGTCGACACCGAAGCGCAAATCACCGCAACACCTGGTGAGTGACTTTCGGAGGATGAACCCCGTTGATTGTAAACAGCATTTTGCCCGTGTTTGCTGAAAAAGTGATCGGATTAGTCATCCTGATTATGCGAAATTTTTTGAAGACATGGAAAGGAATGTGGATCGGGCGGTCGTGAAAGGGCATTTCAAGATGTAAAGGGATTTAAACCTGTTTTCGTTTGTATGGCAGATAGAGAAAGCGTACTTGTCTCGGTCTAAGTATATTATTATGTTAAATTGTTTAATAGAGAACAGAAACATTGTGACGATCTTTAAGAAATGGTATGATTTTTTTTTTTTTTTTAGTCTTTCTGCTGTTTATCGTGTTGTTATTTTCGAACCGCTCGCTGAGTGTTATTGAATAATGTACGTTACGTTTTAAATTCTAACTTTTTAACATTCGTATAAATTATTTTCTCGTTGCATTCCGTTAATCTTTTTTAAATATATTTTATTTATTTGTTTTAATGTATTTTAATTTAAAAAATGTTACTTTTTTGAATATTTATAGATACAAATAAATATTAATAAGAGATTTTACAAACCTAATAAGCGATTCTTAGCATAGTTTCATGTTTAAAGAATTTCGATCATTTTAAATTTTGATAATATATTACAATATGTTCTGCAACCTGATTCCACCTGAGTCGCTAAGATCCACAGCTATTCATAAGAATCCTGTTCCTTTTCCATTCTCATTTAATTTGATTATTGCATTTTATTGACAAATGTTCGGCGAAATAATATTTTACATAATAACTTTAATAGCAATATTTATAAATTTTAACGTAATAGAATAATAATATTTCGGAACACGTAGATACGCGCGTGAGTACTTTATTATTATCTGTCTCTCTATTTTTTAAACAATATAAAACTGAACTTATATTAAAAGTGTCTTCAATACATATAAAATTCCCGACTAACATTTATTAAAATTGTTTATCGCTATTAAATATAAATAAACATTTGTGACTTCGTAAAAGATAAGTAATTCACGCATCGGTAATGAAAAGGCGGATTTTATTTAATAGAAACAAATTTTGATTAATTTGTTATTAAATTTAATTACAATCTGTCTTTTATATAAGTAAATATAAATAATATAAAGTAAGAAAGAAGAAACTTGAAAGATATGAGATAATATGAGGTAACTTAATAAGATTAAGGATACGAAACATTTTTCGACATTCTTTAAAATTGACCGATTCAATACACACAAAAGCATTTGCAACATACTTAACTCTCAAGTTTCTTTCCGGACTGTCGGGTCTCGGTAATTTGTACCGGCTTTCCCGTTCCTGCTTCGGCTTCACGTCAGCCGTATGAATGCCGTTACTCGTCTACTCGACACATCTTGATTCCGTTATGCTTTGTGATTTAATTAAAAAACAATATTAACATAATTTTCCATTCCGTCACCACATCGATCTCATACCATAAGCCAAAAAAGATGATGAATAAATTAGTGAAGCCTACTTTGTTACCGAATCTAATCGGTTTTAGACGAGGCAAAAGATAATAACGATGCGTGTAAGAATGTATTGGAGTGTAGAAAGTTGACGTGTCCGTAACACAAGATGTAGTTTTGCAAATTTATGGATTGCTTAGTGTTTTCTCACAATAGTCAGAATCTTTATTTTTTCTATTGTAAATATTTTGCATATCGCGTAATATAAGGTTTTAAAACAAACGTGCATTTGTAAGATGCAATTTGAAATTAGTAAACAAATATTTCTTTTGATAAATTAATTTTTTATATACGATTCTTCAAATGTATGTAATAATCTATTTATTTTATGCAAGCGATTTATATTTATTATAAAATAAACAGCATATTTAAATGCGCATAGTAACATTAGCATAAACGAAGATGATAAGGAAGTTAAAGGTGAGCATTACTTGAGAGAAAAAAATGATAGATGGTTTTTTTATAATAATTAACGCCGCTCGAAGCGATACACCAAATTTATATATACATTTTCTATGGCGTATGTATTGAATATTTATTAAATTTAGAAGAGAAAGCAAAATTTTCAATAACTTGAATTTCCTTCTATTCGTAGACACCAATGACAAAGATATTCAACGAGTGCAGCTACTTGAAGCAGAATTGCAGAATGACACGACGGAATCGAGAAGCGCGTACACGACGAAAGAAGTCAGCGCGAAGACAACGAACGAAATTAAGAAAAAGCCCGTGATGGATTTTAAAGCTAGAAGCGATCAAAAGTATCAGAAACCTATCGTTAAGGACGATGACTCGAGGAGACCTGTAAATCCCGATGTTCCGATGACGTCATCGATTTCACCCACGACGATTTCTATGAGGACGAACCAGTCTTCGGCGACGACGAAAATCGAGGACGCTACAGATGTGACAATTCCGTTTCTTCTTCACGGTGCACCGATAGCCGCCGTAACGAAGGCGACACCGATGACCAATCTTCGAGATATGTCGAACAGTACAGTGAAAGTGACAGACAAAACAACGTCATCGAGAGGCAGAGCTTTGAACATTTCCGCTCCGGAGCCAACGAATTCATTGCACGCTAACATTACGGACCTCAGTGATGTCAGCATGGACGAAGACGATAAGGAAGTTGAAGGTGAGCGCTGCTTGCGAGAAATAAATGACAGATGTTTTTTTTTTATAACTGATAATAATTAATGAAGCGTTGGGGAACTATTTTTCCAACATCAACGTGCTTTTGTTGAGACTACAACAATTCGACCGACTGTCTTTAGGCGGAGAGTACGTCGCACCGCATAACGAAACTGCCATAAGTATTTCTTCAGCGGAATTTTCGAAGAAATCAGAATGCACCTACGAGAATTACACTTATTCAATAGGCGAAAAAATTGTCCGGGGATGCGAGGAGAAGTGCGTGTGCTCCGAGAATGGAATCACTGACTGTCAGCCAGTATGCAACGACCGTTTTATCAAAGCGAGCGAAGAAATCGACAAGCCGTATTGTCGGAAGCACGTGACCGAGGAAGAGCCATGCTGCGCATTACTTGTTTGCGAGCCGCATTCCGGTACGTTTTCTCACATTTTTAAAAGTTAATAAATTCAACACGAGGTATAAATCCTCTCTGTTTGATTCATCTTCGTCTAAATAAATATAATACGTGTGCGAATAGAAGAATCTTATAAATTATAAAAATTTATGTGCTTTTTAATTGTAGACTTACTTCAGTCTTTTTGTTTTGTTTCTTCTGTTGTTGTTCCTGAAATTTCATCATTTTATTTATTGGTATTTACTTATAGTTTATTTTTTAATTATTCAAAAGTGTTTCACGAGTGCGAAATTTATAATTTCAGAGAGAACATAATACTATTTATAGTATTCAATCTTATGCATTTGCAGCAGAGCTTTCTAACTCAAACTACTTTCTAATATAAGCTATTCAATTTGGTAATTGCCATTAGCTTTCCAGCAGTAGCTTTCAATACAGTATGACACAACTGTGAAGCAGTTGAAAATTTATGACCAGTTAATGCCATAAATTCAGTGATTTAAAAATTTTTCGAAAATACTGACAAAAATGTACTTTTTGTATTTACAGATTAATTAATTGTAAAACAGATAATGCGTTTTAACATTTACAATTGCTACATATTATGGTCACTTTAGACAAAAATGACAAGTGTAAATTAAATATTCTCGAGAACTAAAAAAAGCTTGATATAAAATAACTATCTGTATTGAAAATTAAAAAATGTTTCTGCTTAATTGTGCGGCGAAGTGTTTATCTGCGTCTTTTCACCGGCAAGTTTCCAGCTCATGTTTATAAAAGAAATATACTTGCAGGTAACAAAAAAACGGACAACGAGACGTGCATGTTTGGCAACAAGACAGTAGCTAGAAACAGCGCATTGAAGATGGCTGTTCTAGAATATGTGTCTGCGAGGACGGTGGTCATTTGAAGTGCCAGCCTAGATGTCCACCGAACGAGACTACCACGGCCAATCAACATGATCGCTGCGTGACATTAGCTAGCCCCAGGTATGATCTTTCTTGCTGAACAGACTGAATGATGAAACGGAATATTTCTCGCAAAGAAAAGATACGATTTTCATACTTAATCGCGTTATTCTTTAGCGATCCTTGCTGCAATATCACATATTGCGACGTCACTCTGGGCGATCACGAGATCAAATCGGAGAACTCCACGGACCTAAATGTACACTTGATAGACGTAAAGGTACTGAATTCGACGGCGGTTAAACTGCAGTTATCTACGAAGAACCCGGAAGACGTTGTTACAGAGATCTCACAGAACAGTCATGTGTGGAGTCAACGGAAAATCGACAAAGGTAGATGAAATTTATTGAGCAGCAGGCGTTAATCTGTAACTTAGAGGCTGCAAACATGTAGATCCTCAGTTCTACGCGCAGTATTAGCGTCCCATCGATCGAATTCCACTTTTCTTCGCCGGTGTCCTTTATTGCAGAATATTAATTACGAAAAATGAAGGCAAGCAGAATGAGAAAGACAAGGCTGTATATTTCGCAGATGGTGTAATTTCTAATTTGGCACCCGCGCACACGTACTACATTCGCGTGACAGAAGGCAGCAACACCGGGCCGGCCATACAAGTGATCCTGCCAGCCGAAGTGATGAAGACGAACGTATCGGAGAAAACGCCGGACAAAAACTCTTGCTACTACAAAGGCAAGTCGTACAAGATTGGCGCAGAGTGGTACGACGATTGCGTCTTCTACTGCGTCTGCCTAGACAACGGCAGCCACGTTTCGAATTCGTGCGCCACGATAGAGTGTCCTACGGACTTCGGACTGGACCTGCTAAATCCTGACTGTCTCGACTGGGAGACGGTTGACTTTGACCCAAAACCACCGCACTGCTGTCCGCAGGTATAGTCTTCAGATTTTTATTGGGTTGGCAAATAAGTTCGTTCGGTTTTTTATAACGGAATATAACACATTTATTGCGCAAATGACTTTCAACACTTGTGTGGGATCTATTGAGTGCTGTAGCAATCTCTCGCACCGATTGGGATGGATTATTATCGACGAAGGCCTTGATATCATCCGAATTAATCTCAGTAGGGCGATCAAATCTCCTATCAAAATTTCCAGAACGGAATTTGGCAAACCACTTTTGGCATGCGCGTTCTGCTAGGGCATCATCCCCATTCACACGGCATATTTTTTTATGAGTATCCGCGGCTCGCTTGCCTTTTTGGAAATAGTAACGCAAAATATGACGATAATGCACTTTGTCCACTTCCATTTTACAAGTACCAAGCACACACAATACTAATGTTAGCACAACCAAACTTTATGGAAAATTTACGTAAAAGATAACCTTTCAAATGCCGAAATGAGTTACAATGTAGCACCGAAAGGAAAAGAGTGAAATCGGTATTGCAAGCAGTATCAACCAAAAACCGAACGAACTTATTTGCCAACCCAATATATTAAGAGATACTCTATGCCGTGTTTCGTGGGAATTCGCGGATTTCCTAACGAAAATATTTAAAGCCTTTACCAACTTTTGCATACGCTGATGTTTCTAATGTGTCTTTTAGGAAGTACAGTGTAGGAACAATGGCTCCTGTAACTATAAAGGCGTCAACTACAATAATTGGAGCGAGATACCCGCAAATATCACTGGCTGTGAGAACCATTGTTATTGTGAGATGGGCAATGTGAAGTGTCAACGCGCTTGCTTGCCCGTGCCAGCTCTGCCACCCTCATATTTGCCATGCGCTTCCGATGAAGCGACATTGACGCGCAATCTTAACAGATCGTGCTGTATGGAATGGACTTGCAACCGGTCCTCGTCGCACGGTAAATAGCAATATCTTACTTGTCAACTAGTCTAATGATTCTTAACTCTTAGGGTGCACGCAGCATTTGGGAGACATTGCGTCATACATATTTAATCTTTTAAATAACGAAACCCTTGACGCGCGCGAACTAGGAAAGGAATATAATTCCTGTGATTTTGACTTTCAGAAGACTTCGTGTCTATTTGTCTTTGAAATGTGTATAAAAGAAACATTTTCAATATATAATTTTGCACTTGAAAGTTTAGAATCAAAGAATCAAATATGTTAAACGTTTTCTGAAAAAGTTGGATGGAAATTAAAAAATCCTGAGCTTTAAAAATGTTATGTTAATCTTGTATACAACACAAAGAAACTCTGTGATTAATTTTTATGTAAATCACCATAACATCCTCATTGAACACGTCATAAGTCTAACAATGAAGGGATTAAATAATCTGCAGAGATGAGATTTTGTATATAAGAATGTAAATCATAAATTGTTTGATCTCACAGTGTTCTTAAAAAGACATATTTCCAGATATCATCAAACATCTTCATTTCCAAAGCGAATCATTACCCCCAAAACAATTGTATTGTTTGCTACAATTAATATTTGACGAACAGAATACGATTTTTGTAATAATTTGAAACAAAAAGTTCGTCAGATATCAATGAAACGAAGAGACAAATTCTTCCGACTGAAATATTCGTGCCGACACATACATATAAGAGCATCGCGTCTTCAAGTCATGCATCTTCTCGGTTCACACTTGAATAGAGCCGCAATTGTTTCCCTTCCTTGTACATACTTTGCCTTGAAAGTGCTGTAAATTCGTGCTTTATGTAGAAACACAACCGCATTTGAAAATTGGATTGGCATTTAAATTGGATTTTGCTGTAAATATGCATGGACTACGGACACTTTCTGACCGATCACCGACAATTTCTGTGACAATGGACTTTACTTATTGCAGGAGTGAACGTGACGACCGCGTACCCCGGCCCCTTGGCCACAAACATTTTTGATCGGCAAACGATCGACAATAGACTGAATAACAAGTCGGGAACGCTCAAGCCCAGCCAGGAACCGGAGCATAGCACTTTCTCCTTACCGGAAGACCCGCGAACTGACAAAACCCAAACAGATGCCACTGTTCACGGACCGCCTCATTATCCTATGGATCCAGGATATCCCACAGTGCCTTACAGCGGACCCTACAATCCTGATTTCATATCCAGCCATCCAACTGTGGAAAACATATTTCATTTGTCTCCTCATACCGAAAAGCCGACACCGACTCCAAAGGAAAAGTCAAAGTCGAAGTCTGATTCTAAAAAGCCGGTGGAGCCGGTGAAGCCTTATAAGGATGCGATCGATCATTTCCCCGGCCCGTTCTCGCCCGACCGATTCCCCCAAAAGGCCACCTCGACGCTTCCGCGCCCCGTCAATGAGAATCAGCATATTTCGAATTTGTTAAATACGAAAAAATCGCAACAGAAAGACCATCCGACGCAATTGAGTTCTCATTCGGATGCAGAAAATATTCCGCCAGCCGATTTTGACGAACAGCTTAACAATTTTACTAGTGAATTTTCTTATCAAGATTCGATTCCTGTCAAACCTGATGCGATCAAGCCGAACATAATCGTTCCCACGGTTCCAGCGAGGAAACCCACGTCGAATAACCCTTATGTCGATATGGAGAGACCGAAACCAACTCCGAATCGGCCGGCGCAAGATGTGCAAAGTACCGAGCAGGAAATCTTGTCGGACCATCTGTATCATTTGATTAATTTGCAACACCCTGATAGCCCGATTCAGCTCGATCACACCCTTTCTCAGGATCACCCGAGTTTGTACGATCAGATTTCTAGTCAAAAGCAGCCGCCCAATAATCGCATGCCGCCCGGCTACTTCGAAACGCCGTCTTCCGCGTCGAAGAAGACGAAGCCCCACATCTTCGCGCAGAAGGACGAGAACGGGCAGGTCACTTATCACATTCACACGCCCAACATTCCGCATTCCCCGCAGCAGATCGAAGAATTGTTAGAATACATCAACCAGCACCACTCGAAACCCGGACCCTTCCAACACTATCCCGGACAACCAGCCGTGACTCACAATATACCGAGCGGCACGCCACCCCGTTTACCGCCTCACACGGATTCCCAAATACCGCATTCAGGTTTCGCGCACTTGAATCTCCCATTTGCAGCACAAGCGTCCAATCAGTCAGGTTCGTTCCTGGTTATGTTATACGTCCTCACGTTACACGGGTCCCAATCGCACGCGAGACGAATCGATTCTCATTATTGCGTAGCACAATGATAAATGCGCTCCGATGTATTACAGGTCAGGGACATGACAATGTATATCCAGGCTATCCCGGGAATATTCCTGGATTCTCAGCCGCACTTCCCACCGACGAAATTACAATACAAGAATTGGAGGCGCTGGACGAACATACAGTTCGAGTAACATTTGTTATACCTCAGGTTTTTGTGGGATTGCATGGAAGGATCGAGCTGCGATACACCAGCGATAGAGAGTATGTAATAAGATATCGATTCGAACACACTTAAGAAACGTCATTGTTCAAGAAAATAAAACAATGTCTTTACACAAAATTGTTCCGAAGATTTATACGACTAAATGTTTTTATCTTCTTCATTTGTGGTGATTAGAGATATTATTTCGGACATTCAAAATCATTCCGCGTTAAATAGAATTAATTTTTGCTTACCCTTTTTTTTTCTGCGTTTGTCATAATGTGTGTGATATTCTTGACATTACCAGTTTCTAACAATAAAAGCTTTTCGTTTTTTTAGAAATCACAACTTGTCCACGTGGAGAACACAACTATACAGTCTTCCTAATGACTTAATCGAGAGGCCTCATTTGGAATTTGAATTAGACAATTTGCAGCCGTCAACCGAATACAAGGTGAAGATCACGGTGAAGCTGAAGAATTTGACTAATAGTCCAACTAGCAAAATTTACTCTGTGCGTACGTTGGACAAGCTCGTGAACGAGTCAATTTTGCCGCCGCAAATACCAGTTGACACCGAGCTTCAAATAGTGGAGGTCAACTCAACTTGGATTAACGTAATGTGGAAGAAATTTACGGTATATGAATTGGAATTCATAGACGGTGTTCAATTGAGATATAAAGAGAATGATACGCATAGTAAAATTTATTCAACGACACCGTTAATTCATCGCGCTGTAACGAATTACGTAATCGAAAATCTGAAACCATCGACCACATATGAAGTCGGCATCTACTTCATACCATTCCCGGGGCAAGCTACGGAATTGTGGAGTGAGAAGACGGTAAGAAGTATTGAAATGATTGAAGTTTGATCATTCTTGAGTATTTATCTGTGTAAAGACATTTCGAATATAACAAGTTAAATGAAGAGAGCTGAAGAAAAAGGTCATCTTAAACCGATTAGAATATTTTCATTCGATCTTTGTGAATTTTTATAATCTCGAGTCGAGTTTATTAAATAAGGACTGTCGTATAAAAAACTATCTATATTATTACATCTGTTGTCGCAGATTGAGGTAACCACGTCTACGGAGCCAGACCCCTATTCGTTTGAAGTAAAAGTCGAGATTAAGACCATCAAGTCGACAGACGTAGAAGTGTCATGGAGTGGCGTGCCTTATCCAGAAGACAAATACGTAAACATCTATCGTGCGATCTATCAAAGCGATACCGGCAAAGAAGATACCAGTAAATTCAAGATTGCCAAGAGAGACTCTCACGCCAAAACATTAATTAGTGATCTCAAGCCTGGCACTCGATATCGATTGTGGCTTGAAATATATTTGACGAATGGTAGAATAAAGAAGAGTAATGTGCAAGATTTTATCACTAAACCGGGTACCGTCTTAGCGGCCACTGTCCCTCAACAAGGTAGACAATGCTTTCGAGCGATAAGCAACGTAGCTCTTTTTATTACAAAACAAATTTGAATCTTTTTTTATTTTTTTCAGCCGGAAAATTCACGACGCTGCCTCTCCACGAAGGAGATTACTACGGTCCCCTGGTGATAGTGGCTATTGTGGCTTCCTTGGCGATATTATCGACTCTGATTCTGTTAATGATGCTAATGAAGAGACGAACGAGTAGTAAGGCCGACATATCACCCCGTAAAGCGACGTCAGCGTACGACAATCCTTCCTACAAGGTAGAATTACAACAAGAAACTATGGGTAATTTGCTATTATTGTTTTGTTCGTAATATAAGATAGAGCCGTGATGTATTATGGAGGATGCAGTCCAAAGTAATCTGCACTTTGAATCACGATCTTCTCCACTTTCTGAGATATTTTGTTTTAAAATATTCTGAGCCTGATGTAAAGAGGTGACGTTCTGAAAAATAATGTACATATTATATCTGATGTGGGATTTTTGTAAACGCATCATTTTTTAAATAATACTAAAGCATTTTATTGTTGCTTAAATTTTGTGCCTTAACTTTATGATTTATACAGTAAAAATGAAAATTTGACAAAGACAAAAACTCCTACACAAGATTTGAGTTTAGATATAAAGCAAATATCTTCAACGGTATAATTAAGGGCAAAAATTATTAATATTTACACAAATAAGAAAATGAAGAACTGACAGATGTGATTCAAAACGCAAATTATTTAAAACAGCATCCGCATAATTAACCTTCCAGTCGAAGTCTTTCGTGAATTAATATAAGTTAATGTAAATATGTTAATGTGTTAATGTGAAATAATCGTGACAAAGTATAAGTTAATGTAATTATGTTTCAGTTCTATAAGAAACATTTATGTGTAGATGTGTATTTTTTCGTTGAGGCTAATAAAAAATTACTTACTTTGTATATTATTTCCTTTTAGACTTGTGAAGATGTAGTTATAATATCTAATGGAAGGAACAAACCTGCAGCAGAACACGAGATGGCCACCATTACTTCAAATGTCAAGGAAACCGTTTGAGGTTTTATAATTTATTATATTTATTTATACCACACGATTTCTTCTTCACCTGCGCTGCGTTTTTTATTAGGAATCCATCTGATAAAAATTTGTTCATTTCTATTAATTTTTATATACAACTATGTGTGTGTGTATGTGTGCATATGCATGCATGCATACATACATATTTATAGATATGTTTTAATTGAATAACTCACAAGCTTTTTAAGCTTATTTTAAACTTGAACAAAGTGATAAAACGCAATATCATCATTATTATTATTATTATTATAGATAAGAGATATAATCGATAAGAGATATACATTTCTATTAATATTTTCAGAATACTCGAATTGCAATATAGATAAGTAGGGCTTACAATTATGTATAAATTCTAAAATTGAGATTAATCATAATATATTGTATTCATCCTTGTATATATATTTTTATATGTATAATTTTTATACAAAATATACTCTTTAACCTGTTATACCACGTAATGAACAAAATGGCCATAAAACTAACTAGAATAATGATGCTGAATTTAATTAATTTATCAGACTATAATTTAAAAGTGTAAAGTGAACAGATGAAATAGATTTTCTGTTAACTGTCATCTTTTTTGTGCATTAATATTGATTTTTTTCATAACATTATTTAATGATGTATTTGTTAAATTAATAGGATATTAATTGGTTATAATTATTTTACAATATACGATAAAAAAAGTATTTATACTCCTTATTTTTTTCGAAATAATTTTTTACAGAAAAGACAAATGATGGTAAAATGTTTTCTTCAATATAATAGAAATCATGAAAGTATTTTTTACTTTTAAGTACATTTATCTTTAAAATAATGGATTATGTATCTTTTTTACTTATTGTAGCTATATATATATATATATATATATATAA